TCAGTATAATCCATGGCAAAAATTTTGTTGTGCCTTGCCAGTGGTCACGGAGTTGATGGAGATGTAAGTAAGGTTCATTGAACATGTTTTAGTCGTGCTTTCAATAGGATTTGGTATTGGTAGTGGTAGTTGAAGGGTGGGTACAACATTAAATTCGCATGACATATTTAGGTATGTACAATAACTAGCTAAATAGGTGTCGATACATTTTCTAAAAGTATCGACCCCAAAAACATCGAAACCAATAATTATAATGTAATAGGTAAATTAACAATGTAACCGGTATAAATATACCGGTTAATTAGAAAACATGTCAACATAATATATCGACACTTTTTGAATTTATGTCAATACTTATTGTCTAGAATATAAAGTGTCGATACATTTATTAAAAGTATCAATCTCAATTACATCGAAACCGATAATTATAATATAATAGATAAATTTACAATGTAACAAATATAAATATATTGGTTTTATAAGAAAATAGGTTAGCATAAAGTATCGATACTATTTAAATTTGTGTCGATACTTTTTGTCCATAATGAATGCCAAACGGGGTGCACGCATAAAGTGTCGATACATTTATTAAAAGTATCGATCTCATAAACATCGAAACCGATAATTACAATGTGATATGTAAATTTACAATGTACCCGATAGAAATATACTGGTTTTATGAGAAAATATGTTTAAATAATGTATTAATACTTTTTAAGTTTGTGTCGATACTTTTTTCCAGAATGAATGCCCAACGAGGTGTATACATAAAGTGTCGATACATTTAAAATTGTATCAATCAAAAAAACATCGAAACCGATAATTATAATGTAATAGGTAAATTTGTAATGTTATTGGTATAAATATACTGTTTTCTTAGAAAATAAGTCAATATAAGTGCTACCTATTACATTATATAAGCGTTACCTAATATGTTATTGTACTTAATAATATTTTCGGTTAAATGTCTATTTTATTAGATAAACGCTACCTAATATTTTACTATACTTAATAATATTTCTAATTAAATGATATAACATAATTGATCTAAATTTTAACCGATCACATTGTTTTTTAATCGTTTTTAAGCGCCGCACAAGCTCCCGATTGACGGGGAAAAAAATGCGATTTCGAATTTACCTTTTGCAATATAGATGATGTTAGAAAAAATTGATTACGTCATGTTGTAGTTATGACTGACATTGAACTATATTCATACAACACGTGTTCATGTTTCATAGATTCGAATATTAATATGTGTAAATATTTTTAGAATTGTCGTAAAGTTCGTTTCTTTCATAAACATCTTTAATTCGAAAAATTATAATACGTCATATCGCAATTTTGACTGACATTAAACTACATTCATATAATACGTGTTTTTGTTTCATATATTCGAACACTAATGAGTACAAAATATTTTAAAGATTATCATAGGATTTTTTTTATCCTAATAAAATTACTCTTATAATGTAAAATATTTTAATGATTATAAAGTAATATGTAGTCAGATTTTTTTTTAATTTATTGACAATCTACTCTGTAAATACTATTGTTTGAATTTAAAATCTTTAAAGAGATCAACAGGGTTAAAAAGTAATTACATTTATATTTTAAAGGCAAAAAGGCACCCGAGGTACCTGAACTTTGCACACACAAAAATTCAATGTGGCCCTCATCTTATTTTTTGGATCAATGTAACTCTCTAACTTGGAAAAAAATGTTCAGTGTGGTCTTTTGACCAACGTTTTTCGTCATTGACTAACGTTCTGTTAATTCCAGCTATTATAAATTGGATAAATTACATTATTCATCATTTAACTATTTTATTTTCTTCTATTTTGGTCACTAAACTCTGAAAATTTTTAATTTCGGAAACTCTAGAAACTTCAAGCCCCCGACGAGCGCCATTCTTCTTTTTTCTACAATCTCCCATATCCCATCGTGATATCCTGATCAATGAAATATGAAATTTAGAGATAAGAATTCATCATACTTGATATTGCCTAATTGGCTCAGTAAGATAGTCATATACATACCTTTCGTCATAGTATCTAGCGCAATCTCAATTGGACATTTATGAGAAAATTCAACTTCCACAGATTCTTGTACTTTCTTCATACAAATCTTGAAATCTTCATGGCATTTTATGTCAATCATACCTTTAAGAAGAAGAAGAAATTCATAATCGAGAAAATTAGTGAATGTAGAATATAAATAAAATATTGAATAAGAGAATGGTTCAACTTTTTTTCTCGATACATTCGTCGTGGATCTTGCAACAAGCGTCCAGATCGTCGCACGATTTTTCTTCGGCACAACCTGACAACCCTACTCTGCAATATTTCCCGTATCGGATCGCAATCGCTGCGTTAATGTTGTAATTAGTCACAAAAAAACAAAACGATTGAAGTGATTGGAGAGGAGAAGAAAATGGTGGAGATTGTAGGGAGAAGAAGGGCACGACCGAGGGGAGATAGGATATGACTCGGGTTGGGTTAACTATAGAGTTTTCGAAATTGAAAACTTTTAGAGTTTAGTGACTAAAATAGAAGAGAAGAAATAGTTGAGTGATGAATGGTGTAATTTACCAATTTATAATAGCATGAACTAACGGAAATTGGTCAAAGGGTCACATTAGGTTCTTTTTTTCGAGTTGGAGCCATATTGATCCAAAAAATTGGATGACGGTCACATTGGTTTTTTTTTTAGAAAGTTCGAAGACCACTAGGATTCCTCAGGATGCGTCTCAAGGTCCCGAAGCTCGTGCGAATCAATCTCCGAGAGCGTGTGCCATTAGGTTTCCTACAATGGTGTCTCTAGACTTGCTTTTTGTTTAGCCTGATGAGAATGGGCAGGAAAGAGCTAGTGCTACCAAGCCCCCCATGTCAGTCATTTGCGTCTAGTTTTGTTATCTGTTACCATACCAGATTGTCTAGGTGAATTTCTTGAAACATTATTGTTGTGTGTTTTTTTAGGTTGCCTGATGACTTTAACAAACCCGAATTCACAACTGTGAACATTCAACGCGATCTGTTCTATGGCTACGATACCCTCATGGAGAACGTTTCTGATCCTTCCCACATTGATTTTGCTCATCACAAGATGCTTTTACTGAACTTCATAGGATTTTAATAGAAGCTCCATTATGGTATGGTTGAAAGATACATTATTTCCTAGTGAAACAAGTGTTGTTTATGGTTCATCAGTTCATGTTTTAAACATGGTTCTTTTGGTACTATTAGGCATTTTCATTTATCTTTAATTGTTTGGCAAATCAATGCGTTATTTTAAAATCCACTTGCTGTTTAGGGGTTGTAATGTTTTATTCCCGGACAACTTTTGTTCTCCATTCAGCACAGGTTACTGGGAGAAGAGACAGAGCGACGCCTTTGCCGTTTAAGGTGGAGTCTAGTGGCCCTTGGGGATTTGGTGGATCAAATGAGGGTAACCGAAAGATCAGTTCTAAGTTTGTTGCACCGTGCTTTTATATGAATAAGTTCATTACCCTTATTTAAAGTTAGAAATTTTTAATGCTTCTTTAGAATAATTTCGCTTATATTTTACGGAAAAGTTACATGAAATTTCATAGGTGGATATCGGTGTATAACTTATAGCAAAAACCATGGACCCACTGAAACTTAAGTAAAGCTTAATTTATCAAAGATTATAGACAAAAAAACTTGCCTTTCGATTTTGAACTGTTTAGATATATTGTTCTTTTCTCATCCGTTTCACATCTTTCATGCACATAATGAATGTTTTTTTGCTATATTGTAAGGTTGATTTGTCATAGCATGCATTTTATGTGAGCCAATGCCTTATAGTGTCTCATAGTAATGTTCTAAAAGTTTTGCAGTTCTTTCAAATTTATTGTACTTTTATGATCTTACCCTGCAGAATAGAGACAGACACAAAACTTCCAATAGTTGGTGAGCAGAAATGGAAGATATGGATATATTCATTCAATGTACCCATGGCTCCAGGGAAGACTCGATCGATCGTTTGCAGTGCCCGAAGCTTCTTCCAGTTTTCCGTGCCTGGGCCTGCCTGGTGGCAGGTGAGCACTATTTCATCTTGCTTCTTGTACATGTGTTTCTCAGTTTGTGTTCGATGTTCCAGTTATACAGGGATACTAAATTGAAACATGGAACCAAAGGCTTGTCTCATCTGTCGGCTTGCTTTAGCCGGCATGTAGGTTCTTAATTAGAGTTTTCCAATGCTTCATTTCTGCATCAATTGGTTCGAACGGGGCTTCTTGTGCCAGGTTGTTCCTAGATGGTTCGACAACTGGACATCAAACAAAGTTTATGATGGAGATGTTATTGTACTTCAAGGCCAAGAAAAGATATTTCTTTCAAAATCAATGGAGTTCCAAGGACATCAATCAGGAGTACACAAAGCTCACATTTACACCCACACAAGCCGATCGATTCGTATTGGAATTTTGGAAATGGTTAAGGCATCATGGCAACAGTCAACCGGAATGACTCGACACCACCATCCAACAACCTCTCCCGTCGACAGTATTATCAAAACGCCAGGTGTTGCAAAACTCATAAATTCACTGATATACAAACACAAGAGCGTACTCATAAAACATTTTTCATAATCATTTGCAGATGCTGGATAGATTTGAGCAACACACGCTCAAGTGTTCATCATGCAAACAAGCTTACACGTCATTCCAAACATGGGAAAAGATCTTAATCGGTGCAAGCTTTGCATTCTGTGCATCCGCTGGCATCCCATCAGATTTCCAGCTCCGGGTTGTCTTGGCAGTGCTTGCTGTGGTTTCTGCTGGTTTGGCATTTGTACTACACCAGGTCGAAAAGAACTTCGTTTTTGTTGGCTATGTACATGCTGAAATCGATTAAAGCAAGTTTGAACTGTATTTTGCAGCGAACAAAACATTTGCGAAATATCCAGTGTTGTATATTTCTACATATTAGAAAGATTAGAACTTTAAAAACTCAAAAGCAAAAATAAGTACAGAAAACTAACCAATTCACAAGATAATTAATTTTCCATTTAAGTTCAGCGAACTACAAAAAGACCCATAAGAAAATATCCTTAAAATCTACTGATTCTTACAACAAACACCCATGTTTTCATTTGAGATAATTGGAAACTAAGAACTTGTGAACTTAGTAACAGCCTTAGTCCCTTCGGACACAGCGTGTTTGGCCAACTCCCCGGGCAGAACCAATCTGACGGCGGTCTGAATCTCACGCGAAGTAATGGTGGGCTTCTTGTTATAACGAGCGAGCCTCGAAGATTCCTGAGCCAGCTTTTCGAAAATGTCATTGATGAAGCTGTTCATAATACCCATCGCCTTACTGGAAATACCGATATCGGGGTGGACCTGCTTTAGGACCTTGAAGATGTAGATCTTGTACGTTTCGACGCTCTTTTTGGCTTTCTTCTTCTTCTTATCGCCGGATTCTTTGGGCAGCTTCTTCTCGGCTTTTGGCTTCTTCTCAGCTGGGGCCTTCTCGGCTGGCTTTTTCCCGGCAGGCTTCTTCTCGGCTTTTGGTGCCATTGGAAAATTTGATTTCGAAGCAGAAAATAGAAAATGTTGTGAATTTGTGAAGGTTGGAGAGGAAGGTGAATGCATATATAGGGGAGAGGTGTGTAATTTGATTGGTTGGTTTTGGTATGGGAGGATAAGTGACGTGGAATGTATGGGCCGTTTGATTTCAATTGGAAGGATTGGACGGAGCGGATCGGTTCTTGTTCATGCTAAGGATTAACATAAAAAGCGGGGATTTAAGTTTTAGTTTTTAAAAAATTTGCGCCGGATTCTTATGTTTGGCGCTGTGGGTAAAGTGTTAACTTGTCAAAATGTGTGTGGCAGTGATTAATATTGCTTAAAAACTACTCTTATAGCGATAAAATCGGTTAATTAAATTATTTTTTATATTTTTAAAATTGTAAATTTTAAAACCACGAATATGATTTTTTATTTTTATCTAAATTCTTTTTTTTTTCTTTAAATAAGATTAATATTAGATTTAAAATTTATTAAATAAATAAAAATATAAAATTTAGCCACAGTTGTATTTGTCCTGTGCGCTAAAAAAAATAAAGCTCAAGGTTTGAAAAAAGATCTAAAACTTCAAAAAAATTATCACTTTTTTATTTAATTAACTTTTTAAAATTCCAAAAAATATATATAATCGTTTAATCAATATTAAAGTTTAATATTTTAGGTAAACTACGTATTTATTACTTAAACTATTAATTTCGGTTCGTTTTAGTACTTAAATTTTTAATTTTTTAAAATCATATTTAAAATTTAGTTTTTATTTTATTTTAGTACAATCGTTAAAAATTTAACGCGTTTAGTACATAAACTATCAATTTTTGTTCGTTTTAATAATTAAACTTTAAAAAAAAATTAAAACATAATGTTAAATTTTAAACTGGATACTAAAAATGAAACAAAAGCTAAAATTTAAATACTAAAACAAACTAAATTTGATAGTTTAAGTATTAAACACATAATTTACCCTAATATTTTTTAAATATTTTATATTGCGTTGTAATAGAATGATGACACATGATATATTAATTATCATTATAGTTTTAAAAAATAAATATTATTTTTAGAAAAAACTCAAAAAATGGTGAACATTAATAAAATTTAAAAATACTTCAAAATTATAAAAAAAACTTAAATAAAATTTTAAAATATTACTAAATTTTGTAGAATTTCTACATAGACTAGTTTTAAAAAATATTAATATACTTTTAAAAATTATAATTAATATTATAAAATTAAAAAAAATATTAAAAATTGTACAAATACTATCCTCAAGAACTCTTTTATAAGAAAATTTATGACATTGCAAGACAACAATTCTTTCCCAAATCTATTAATGATGTCATAACACAACAATTCATATCACACAATGAATTCTGATTATTTTTTATAATGTATATTTAAAATTATTTTTAAACACTCATAAAACCAAAAATTATAATTATACAAAATAACTCACATTTCAACTATATTATTTTCTAAGTATCTTTAGGTACTTTTTATAATTTCTGTAATGATTTTTATTTAATTTTTAAACTTATATTTTATAATTTTAAAAACACTTTTACAATTTTTAAGAATAATACAACAAAGTGTTTTGGGAATTATCATATATCAAAGATAAATAACCGTTAGGATAAACTACACAAATGATTGTTCATATTTAAATAAAAAAAATTACTAAATTTTCAAAATTAATAAATTAATCGCTATAATTTTTTATTTTTAATCAATCATTACTCATTATTATATCAATAGAATAATGACGTGATCACATAACAGTAAATGCAAAGAAAACATCCCTAAAAGCTACTGATTTTTACATCAAAAAACCCTGCTTTTTCCATTTGAGACGATTGAAAACTAAGAACTGGTGAACTTGGTGACAGCCTTGGTGCCTTCGGACACAGCGTGCTTGGCCAACTCCCCGGGCAAAACCAACCTGACGGCTGTCTGAATCTCACGGGAAGTGATGGTGGGCTTCTTGTTGTAACGAGCGAGCCTCGAAGATTCTTGAGCGAGCTTCTCAAAAATGTCGTTGATGAAGCTGTTCATGATACCCATTGCCTTACTGGAAATACCGATATCGGGGTGGACCTGCTTTAGGACCTTGAAGATGTAGATCTTGTAGGTTTCGACGCTCTTCTTGGCTTTCTTCTTCTTCTTGTCGCCGGATTCTTTGGGCAGCTTCTTCTCGGCTTTTGGCTTCTTCTCAGCTGGGGCCTTCTCGGCTGGCTTTTTCTCGGCTGGTTTCTTCTCGGCTTTCGGTGCCATTGGAGATTTTGATTTCCGAGGGGGGGGGGAAGATTAGACAAAGTTGTGAAAACTGAATTTGTGATGAAGGCGAACTGAAGGTGAAAAGATATATATAACGAAGTGGGGTGTAATATGATAGGTTGGTTTTGGTATGAAAGGATTGGTGACGTGGGACGTATGGGCCGTTGGATTTGAGTGGATCGCTCCTTGCTCGTCTTTTTATGTTTTGAGGATTAATTTAAAGCGGGGATTTTTCTGATTCCCCCCCCCCCCCCACACCCGAATCCTTGTGTTTCGCGGGCTATCAAAATGTGAGCGGGGTTAATTTTTATTCACGTTCGACGTGGATATTAATATTAATTATTTGGACTTAATGTAAAATTAAGTGTCCTAACAATACCTTAAACTAAGTGTTTAATTTTTTTCCACTAAAACTATTTGTCTAAGGTTTTCTAAATACCTTTTAAGTCTTAATTTTTTTTCATTACACTTTTTGGTTTCTATACAACAACATACATTAAAAAATCGTTAAGTGACATCTGTTATGTTTATATTTTAGCTTAATGTAAAAATAAATATCCAAATTATACCTTAAGTTAATTTTGGGTACCCAAATAATTTTCAATGTTACATTTTTAGGTTTTTAGAATGCAACGACTAATAAATTTAGTTTTTTTTTGGATAAGTTAAATTTTATTATCCAATAAAACGTTCAAACAACACCCAATCAATGATCAATAAGCTATGTACAACAAAAAAATTAGTTAGCCTATACCCCAATTATTACAAAGAAGAGAGTTGATATTATCAATTCTATTTAAGTCCCTATTGCTAAGCTGAGCACTAACAATACCCTTAATGGAATTTAACATTTGATCAACCATACGAGTTCTTCCTTGAAATATCCTCATGTTTCTTTCCTCCCAAACGGTGTAAACGAAGGAACACCAAGCAATCTTCAATATAGATGTTAGGAGAGATTTGCCTTTCCATGTAGAAGTTGCCCAATTGATCAGATTTTCCCATGACATATGCGGTTTGAGTAGGTGGTTGAGGTTTAGAATATGCTTCCACAAGCTGGTTGCATTTTTGCAGTCTGTAAAAAGGTGGTTTCTCGATTCCAAAGGATCATTGCAAAGAGGGCAAGAAACGTTAGTTGTAATTCCCATTCTAGATAGTCTCTCTCTAGTAGGAAGTCTGTCGATGATAGCCATCCATGAGATGATGCTGAATTTCGGAATGTGCATGGGAAACCAAATGAGCTTGTGTCATGGGACTTTGGAATGCTTAACTCTTATCTCCTCCCAAATGGTTATGGTGGCCTTAGGAGTAGCATTAAGAAAATGAAGAGCTTATGTTATAAGTTTCAATAGACGTTTAAAACACCAGCTAGCAGAAGAACTTTCTGTCATGACTAATAAATTTAGTTGTTATTTGACACCATCATGTTTACATATATTTTAAAAAATTCAAATATTATTTAAAAACTAGTTTTTAAGGGGAAAATTCCCTCGCTCTCACCTGCGCAAAAATAATTTCCCTCGCCTTTGTAGAAAATTCCCCCTCCCAGTTGTATTTAGAACCCCTTTATCACCCCATAAATCCGTAAAGTTAACTTAGAGCGAATTATAAGAATCCCTAAAGTTAACTTAGAGTGAATGATAAAATTGAGATAGAGTTATGGCTGGGTATTAGGTATAGGGATTTAAGTTTGGATTTATGAATTTAAGGGGATTGGGATGACAACAAGAGTGATGATCGGCAGTGAAAGTTCAACGATCGGTTAGTGATCACTCAACGATGACAAAGACGGTCGATGATGGTTGATGACAATCGATAATGCGATTGAGAGATTTTAAGGTTACATTTTTTTGTAATTTTAGAAAAAAAATAATATTTTAAAAAATAATACTTTTAACTTTTTTCTAAAAGTAAACATTTTAAAAGTATATATAGACACGATACGTGTGAGATAACAATCGAATTTAACAGTCATTACAACTTATGAATCTAAAAGTATAACGTTAAAAATATTTTCTTAACGAAAAATTCTTTTCGCATATAAAGTTAACTCATGAAAAGCAAGGAGTCCATGTTGCCTGTATTATGCTTGTTGAAGAGGAGTCTTAGTTCAGGAACTTCCCTTGCGTTGGCAAAACATTAACACCAACTGGACTGTGCCCAAAGAACAAGCCAACATGACCCATCAGCTTATCTTTCCTCGAAAACGTGTTTCCGCAAGAACATCGCCACCTGAGATCACTGCAGTGCTTTTCATGAGTACGCAGATCCGAGTCCGACAGCACCGAGAACTGCTTCTGCTTGCACCACTTGCAAACGTACATCTTAGGACAATGGCTTCTCCTGTACTGTCTCTTCACGCGGATCATGGATTTCAAAGGTTGAAACTTTGCATGTTTCTGGTTCCACCTGCAACCTTCGTGAGGACACGAATATTACTTCGGCAATTTCGTCGAACAGTTTCCCCTTCCGTCGTTATTACTTCCCCTCATGGGGTTAACCAAAGCAGCGTTGGTCTTGTACTCATCACCATGAGCTCTCATGTGCATTCTCAGATTCGCATCTCGTTTGAACCCTTTAACACAAACATGGCAGTAATGTGCGTACTTAGCTAACGGATCCTCCACATCCAATTCGACAATATCATAATTCGAATCCGAAATATTCCCTAACGGCCCTTCGCTGATTTTTCTTCTTCGAATCATTTCAGCCGATTCGTGCAAAGTTCGGTTGTCATCGTTGTTATTGCGATCATGCCAGCTAGATATTTGATCATTACTAGGATAAAGCTCGCAAATATCACTAAATTTTAGTTGTTTTGATATGTCATTATCATTACTACGACTGTTGTTACCTGAAATGGTTCCAAGAGACATTTATTGGCAAACTGCCTTCATGGAAGATGCGGATCGATGATGTCTTGAACCAGAGAACCCATGCTTGCTATGGCAAAAGACCTGGTTGACTCAGGGTGAACTCGATCCGAGGTGATTAAGATGCTAACAAGTGATTCAGCCTGAAGAACTTTATCTTTCAAGATAGAGAGATTACATAGGAGAGAGCTTGAATGAGCCTGATCTAAGCCCGAACCAGAATATGAGACATTAATTAATATTGTCTTGATCAATCGGCAAGCCCTGCGACACATCGGGGAAACATGAAGTACTCGCCTCCGAAATCATTTTCAAAACATTTGGATTTCGCTTTGCCTTTTGTCTTCCTCGGAACTGAGATTTAATGTTTCATTGTTTGAGATCAGTTGAACCAAAAAAAAAATGGTTGAAGACAAATGGAAGTCAAGTTTAAGAGCACGTGTTCATCCCCACTTAAGACCTCACTCAGATACTTACCCTAATTTATCTTCAGCATATATGACAAATTTTAAATCAAGAAAAGTTGAAATGACAGCTGTCAGACATTTTCAATTCATAGTTTTATTTTAAATTAGTCATTTATTAAGAAAACTAACCCTATTGCTGTAACAAATTTTTTTAACCCTAATGCACTCATGAATTATATTTGGCAGGAAAATATTATCTTAATACGTGTAGGGCAATTTAGATTGCATCAAGGCAATCTCTAGAAGTTGAAGTATTCAAAATTCACTTGGATAAGAACTGGGTGTTCTATTTCCTCGGAAATTTCAATGTGAAATTAAATAAGTAAATTAAGGAAGAAATTCATGGTTCAGTATATCAATCCATACGAGTAAAATGAAAACCCAAACATAATACCCATATTACGTACAGGTTTTTGCAAGCACTTCCATCATGTTTAATAGGGTTTCATTTTTAGTGCGTAACTTAATGAATTGGTGAGGTTGAATACTCGAAAAAATATTTGAATTGAAAAAAAATCAAGCAAAACTGATATGTAGCGGCGTTTGGAGAGAAAACGCCACAAAAATTAAACATATAACAGCGTTTACAATCATAGCACCACAAATTGATACTTTAGCGACGTTTGTCGTAAAAACGTTGTAATAGAGTTGACATATAGCGGCGTTTTTACAAAAAACGCCGCAATAGGGTGGTTTATTGCGGCGTTTTTTACAAAACGTCGTAATAGAGTGGTAAATTAGCGGCGTTTATACCGCAAACGCTGCAATATATTAACATATAGTGGCGTTTTAGCCAAAATGCCGCAATAGATCGGTAAATTAGCGGCGTTTATACCACAAACGACGCAATATATTACACATATAGTGGCATTTATTCTTAAAACGCCGCAATAGTGATAATAAATAGTGGTGTGTTTTTAGACAAACGCCACAATAGTGTTAATCACTAGTGGCGTTTTTAGAAAAACGCCGCAATAGTTTTAATCAATAGTAGCGTTTTTTAACAAACGCCATAATAGTGTAATCAATAGTGGCGTTTTTTTTATAAATGCCGCAAAATGTTAAATATATAATCCTTTTTTTCTCTTACTCGAACCCTAAAATCATTTAAACTCTTCTTCCCTCAAAGTTTATTCTCTGGAACAACAATAGCTCTCAAACGATTCCTACCGACGTCGTCGTTTGTATGTCCCGGCGACTAAATCAGGCCTCTCACTGACAAACTATAACACAACTGTACGGTTTGATCCCTCTTATCATTAAGGATCTTTTTTTCATTTTTTTGGTCTTCTGAAAATGAGGAAAACCCAAAAAGTTAACGTATTTGAGAAAAAGAGAGAAGGTGTTGCCTTGAGTAAGAGACATTATCGTCGACGGAATGTCTAAGTGGCGTATTTGCTCTGATAATGGATCAAATTATCGTTGGGAGGATATCAGTCAGGTCTCACCGTCGAAACTGGATGATGACCCGAAAGGAACTCCTATTGCTCCATACCCTTCCATGGCCGATCTCCTTCTTGAAGGTAATAATCTATGAATCTTTCAGCCGCTATAATTTATTTTTCTACGCTCAGTCAAATTTCATATATTGTATGCATATAGGATCTTCGAAGCTTATTGAGAACGATGATAGAGGAGTGGATAAATACACGATGTTTAGAACTGAATTTGGT